GCGATGCGCCCTTTCCCCGCGGTGGTTATTTTTTGTGTAGTTATTTCAGTGGTTTAAAATGAAATAATTGAGGGACTTCCACCAGTTCCACCCTACATCTCTCTCACATGCACACCCTTCTAAAAGGAAGATCCCTAAGTAACAGTCACTGTATTTCGTATTTGTAAAGCTACATTTTGTTTTAATTAATACACACCAAAGGAAAAAGTCACATGGTGACTTTTATTCCGGTATCTCTGCCACTGACTGCTAATCTACCTTGAGTTGAATACACAGCATAATGAATCAATTGAAAAGTAATTTGCAAGACTGCATCTAGTTAAACTAAACAAAATACCTGGTCAAATAAGTGGGTCCCATTACAATGAAGATGTTTGTTCTTCCAAAAGGGAATGGGAGACTTACAAGGTGATAAAGCACTTCTGTCCAAATTTTAGTCTTTGTCTAAACAAGCAAACTGTAAATGCTCTATATAAATATACACGTCACAATACTCCTAACAATGGCACTATTTCACATGGCTGTAACATGTGTCCTTCATTAACATTCTCCCATGTCAGTCTTTGGTATTGTTCTAGAAGTATGCCAGTATATAGAAACCAGAGAACAGAGCTCTTGACACAGTGACCTGGCTCTAACTCCAAGGGCAGCTTGTATCCTTGATGCTTGCATTATGTGTCCATACACCTCCTTTATTAAACCTTATTTTAACGTACAAACTAAAAATGACATCTGCTAAGGGAACCAAACTAAACTTGGTGCAGCTACAGTAAAGCAAGACAGTTCAGCTAGGAGAGTTTCCTTGTGTGTGAAGTACCTGAGAATATTGTCAACATTAGTGCCTTTCATTCACTTAAACAGCCTTTTAATCTAAAAATGAGTAACACTGTTACACAGGACACCTCCCCTCCGCCCCCCCCCAAAAAAAAACCACACCACACACACACACTAAGAGAACGCACGCCTTCATTATCTGAATTCCTACAGGCAGCCATTAAACATACTCATTCTATTTTTGCTTTCCTTACACAGCAAAGGTGGCAAGGAGAATACTTCAAGACCTCCCCCCTGAGCAGATCTTACTTTTAATAATGTTACAGATTAACGGAAAAAGATTTTTCAAACTACCTAAAGGTCTTAGGAACAGGATATCAGGGCCTGAGCTCAGAGGTCTGTATGAGAAACCTCCATCATCCCCCACAACTGTCAGTATCTTATAAGCAACTGATTCTATCTTTTCCTCTAGAACGCTAACAGCATCACTATATTGTGCTACTAAAAATAAATACATCCATTAAAACTATTCTAGACACAGTATGAAGCCTACCCTGCTTTAAGGGATCAATAGTATTTGCACTGAGAGCGTATACCAAAGTAAGGCCCCAAGCTGCTGTGGTATCTTGAGCCCCTATCTGTGCTAATGAAATTACATCCTAAAGCTTTTTGAAACATTGAAGTTATAATTCAGGTCAGGATCTGTATTTTAAGGAAATGCAAATAATCCCACTATTTGTGATAAATACATTCTAACAAAACTAGATTAAATGCATAAAATCCACAGTAACACCTACCTAACACTGGAAAATGTCAAGCTACGCTCCTTGAACCGCAGCTGACCCAGCGAGACAAGTTTAGTTAATTTTAGTTTTTCTTTCTTCTGTCAATCCATCATCAAAAAATGGGAAGGGCTACCGCAAGAAACCTACCTGATCAAGCTCCTCAGAGTTCTCAGGAACACCAGAAAAGCATCAACCGCACCAAGAATTACTAAATTTTCCTCGGGGTTGAAAAAACAACTGGACAGCATGGAAGAACTTTAAGTACTGATTCTCCAAGCACACCTCCATCATCAAGGCAAGCTCTTTGCACTGTCATTAGATTTTATGAGCCATATCACTTAAACTCTCTTTAATTCAGCATAACATTTAGTAGCATTTTTAGCCATGCAAGTCAAAACATTACAATTGACTAGTCTGCTGGAGAGAGCATTTAAACTCAATGCCTAGTGTCAATATGGGACTACTTCTACCTAACTCAGATACCCCGTTAAGACTCTGACTCCTACTGCTTTCTTTTGATTAGACAGAGGCACCAAATGACAGTACCCAACAACTGTATGCATGCTCATACCTCCTTGCCTACTCGCACTACAATATATTGGATTCCTATTACATTTTGTCATGGATGGGCAATTCCTGTGTTGACCTCATAAAATAACTCACAAGAGAATGCAGTACAGGAAAGCTTTTCTTCCAAGTTACATTCCCAAAGAATAATCCTAGGAGAGCTTTACTTTGTTATCCGTGCAGTAAATTACTTTTCTTGGCTCAAAGCTTTAGGATTTTATTGCTTTTTAAGTTAGCAGTGAAAGATTTAATCACAGATTTGTTAGGTTTAACCACTGAACACAGGATTTTCCAGAATCTTCCAAGCTCTAAGAAGAACCACAGTAGAAGTTCCCAACTATAAACACTACTGGAAAAATTTTGGATTTACTATGGATTTCCTCCCAGTAATCATCCACAGCTTCAGTTTAGCAATAAAGAAATCCATCAGCATGCTCCCAGCACCATAGGGGAGCTCAGGCTTTTGGCAGAGGAAATGGAACAGCAATTGCCTCACAGAACAGGAAATCAATGACTTCCCCATGTAGAGGTGAACAACAGGTTGCTCCTGCTGAGCACAGGATCATTGATTTCCCTTTCTGCCAACAAAGCTGCTTTACACATTCAGTGAATAAAGTCTCCATTACAAAAAGTTGGAGACACACACCTTTTCCCAAACCCTGCCCTTACCAATCCAGTTAGGCAGCAGGCTATGCAATTTCAACCGAGTAGACAGAAAAGGAAGGGAGGAAGTGTTGCGACACCCGGTCTTCCGGGACATCCTTTAGACATAAAGCTTTCAGGCTATGAGGTATTTGACAAACGCCCCAGCACACCACTGATTTAAACTCATCTCAAATCTCATGGCTTGAGAAAGGATTTAACTGAACTGTGACAGTATCAGGGCCAGGGACACCCTGGTCATCTTTCCCCTTCCCCCCAGTAGTAGGATAGCACTATTTATTCTCAGCAATTACAGATCTGAGATCAGCATAAAGATATCTTGACATTATAAGCACAAATACTAGAGAGGATTGGGAAATATGGGATGACCACATCATCAGGAAGTAAGAGTAGGCACATTATTCAGGAGACAATAGACCACACAGATATCCTTCCAGACTGAATTTCTCCATAACTAAACCACAACACGTTTATTTACATAGCCCAGAGAACCTCCTAGCACCTAACAGATATACACCCTGGTTTTGAGAGAGGTTACAACAGAGACTCTAAAAATTGGAATATTCACCCAAGAGCTCCTGTCAAGTTCACAGCACAGACAGCCTTTGATCTTTGCAGTTTTAAAATCCCAGCTTCTTCCTGAAATTTACTAGTCTTACTGCTCCCTGAAGCATGAAGTAACATAAAAAGGACAAGAGTTGAAAGTTTCCCCAGACACACACTCTACCCTTGAAGGACTGCAGGCAAAATGAACTCCATGTACAGACCCTCTTTGCTGCGAGTCAGAGTTCCCAATGAGGCCATAGAACCAGAACCATTTAAAACATGTATGCAGTCATCAAAAACTGAATTTCAAGTCTGTAAGTGGTATCAGAGGTCACTGATCATAAAACAGCAGATGGAAGGGCTTTCGGTCAATCCAGCCTTGGCCCTGCTTTGAACCAGTGCTCTGAATAAGCAGCTTGTCTATTAACTAGCCATGTCTCGGATCAGAGGATATTGCTGTAGCTTTTTCCAGAGCTATGCCTGCATATTATCTCCAGTAACTGCAGACACGTTAGATGGACAGATGGACCTACCTGATAAAGTATTTGCCTATACAAAGCATATTTTGCAGCCTACGCTGATATGCCTGCACATCTAGATATATCTAGGCTCAATGATTACAGATACTACAGATTTATAAGCTGCAAAACACCATTACAGCACAGTAGAAATATATCCTTAAGTCTCTAGTAGCTTCCAGATTCTCTGGGAGACTCTGCTCATCTCTTTGCGCACAGTTTATACTTCTATCACTTCTTCAGTGTAAAAGGTTACATTTGTAAACTCTGTCTTATTTCTCTAGAGTCATCATTGCTCTAAATCAATTCAGGTCATGCTGAAATTAGTCTTGTCCTTCACCAGGTTAACCATTCCTCCGGTTTTGCTAAAATTAATATATGCTTGTAGATAAATTACAGCCAAAGTGAAAGACAAGAAAGAAGTAGGGCTACTCCGTAATATTTGTTCTTCTCCCTCTGTCCCCGAGTTCAACAAGAAGCCTCTAGAATTCTAACTGTGCCCCAATCTAATCAGTCAGCAAAAGAGAGACACTACATGAAGATGTTTCCTAGAATAAATAGTAGTTACCTACAAGAGGTTCCTCAATAAATGCGGGCACTACAGAAAACCCTACCTGCTTTCCTGTGAAAGGGAAAAATCCTCACTCACTGTTTCCTAAGCTTGTCACTGTCTTCATAGTCCATTCTAGCTGCAGTAAGAATCATACTTTCATCATTCTGGACAGCAGTAGGCCTGAATTTAGCATGGTGGAATGTGTCCTCACTGTTTGTTCATAGAGGTTATGGAAAGGTAAATACAATGACTCAAAACTGCTGCAAGAAAGAGGTGAAACAAGTTAGAGTGAGCTCAGTGTTCTTTAAAATTACGTCCTTCATTCTAGGTTTCTGGTATGCATAGCCAAAACATCACACTTCTGACTGACATATTTAGAGCTATTACTTATCATAAATGGCAAGATCATCATTGAGGCCAAGTAATACTTCATGATACGTTCTTGAACTGACCACAGATCTTAAGTACGTTTTAAGCTGTGGAAGGCCTGGTTCTACATTTTATGGAAATGATAGTTCTATTAATTCACTACCTTTTCCCTTTTGAAAGTTCTCTTTTCTTCATGCTGAGAATGATTTGAATGAAAACTCTTACCTGTTTTCCATCTAGTGTGTACAAGCGTTTAACCACCCCTGAATCCAGCTTGATGGCGTCCGTTATATCAGTAAGAACCTGTTCAAACGAATGCGCTGTCTTCTTGTTAAGCAGGATCCGGACCGCTTTACGTGGTTTCACTCCACTCCTGATGATAGTGACTAGCTTAGGCCTAATGAAATCCTTATTCTCTTTCGCATCTGGAGTACCTCCTTTGGCAGTGGCAAGAGACGGCACTGAACGGGAAGTAGAAGTTGTCTTAACATTCACTGACCAGTTTGGGTTTACATTCTTCGTGTACTCCAGTTTCTTGAAGGGTTCTATTGAACCACATACATAGCTTTCCCCTGCAGAAATAAAAGTGCCAGGTGACAAGGTCAGACTGGGTGGGCGAATAATAAAAGTTAAACTAAATAAAAACCCAAGGAAAATACCCAATGAAATACTACTCAATTATTGAACGTTATTCTTACCATTCTTGATCTAGAGTGCATAAAGTACTGATCTCCTCCCTTCTCAGACGCTACAGACTTGAAAAAAGTCTTAAGGATCGCTCATCAGATAACCATTAAATAAAATGCTGTTATAAATCACTTGAAAGCATCAGCTTTCTTTTCAGAAAAGACCATCTGAAGCAGGGGCTGCTATTGTCAATAAGCAGCATATGTAGCTAATCAGCTTTCGGGCCTCAGTGCATTATTACAGTAGTCATCTAGCATTCATGCTTAAACGGTCATTCCTAACAAAACAGCAGGCCCCCATCACTTCAGAGGAAACAGTATGAAACATTATCAAAAGCAATAGGTTACAAATAACTTTCTGTAAGAGGTGGATGAAAGTATCATAGTAAATTTTTAATATTCAATTTAAAGCTTTAAGTGATATAAACCAGGATACATACAGTCAAGAAGCCTCACTATATTAATCTACTGATTGAGTATCTTATATGGGGGAAGAAGGAAGGCAAAGTAGAATAATTGCAGAGTTCCATAACACCAAATTTACCACAGTTTCAAGAAAAAAAGCTGATTATAGCTCATATTTCTATCAGAGCATTACCTACAACAAAAGTTTTTCAGAATTAGCACATACACTTTTTTCTGCAGAACTGACATCGCCAGAAAACACCAGCATATCTGTCTTCAGCACTGAAGCTAAGGTAAAAAGTGAACTGGCATCTTAACCCAGTCCAATTGCAGGCTGCTGCAAGAGGAGCACCCATCTCTCCCACCCCTTCTCTCATGCTTCAGTGATTGACTGTTCTGCCAGAGGGTGAGATTGTTAATCTGACAGAACATAAATGCACTAATAAAGAGAAAACAAATATTGAAACAGCTAGCTGATCCAGCTCACCCTGTAGCTGGGGGGGGGGGGGGGGGACAAAAAAAAAACAAGAAAAAAGGCACTGAAGTTGCCATGCAGTATTTCCTGCATTGTGTTCTTTTTACTCAAAAAGTATTTCCACAGAAAATAAGGGGGGGGGGGGGGGGGGGGACACACACACAAAAACCCACAACACTAAACCCAGCAAGACAACACCTTTCGGCAGCCTGCAGTTAAGCTGGATTACAAATAATACCGAATCCCATCCTGAACAATACCACAACAACATTTGAGAGGTTTTAATTCATCTAGGTTCAGTAGTTCAGCATATGCTAACAGTGTAAAGACATTTATGTTAACATTTAACCCAAGATATTAAAACAAAAATAGAATAAAAACAAAACACTGTACTTCTTGTGGCAAAGAGCATGGGGGAGGGGGGGGTCAGGAGCCACTTCACACACACTAAAAGATAGACTTTGCTAATTATCCTTACCCTAAGGAAGCGAATTCAGGGTTCAATACCTACATTTCCTTTCTGGGTGTCCATATTTAAGATTTAAGGGCCCCTCATTCCAGCCCCACAAGAAAACAGGGAATGCTGGCTGACATATGAAGTTACCACAATTAGCACTGGGGGCAGGGGGTAACGACTGGGACATAAGGTCCCAGGATGCAATAGGGGTTCAAGCCTGTGCACTAGCACAGTCAGCATAACGCTCCAAAAGTAGAGATGAGATGGTAACTCGTAATACAGTGATTACCAGAAAGCCAGTGGAAAAATTCCAAGGAAAGATAAAGAAGTCAGGGCAACATGTGAAGATGGACCACTGAGCAGAAGATTAGTGCAGTGAGAGCATAAGATGAAGCAGGAATCATAAAAAGGCTTTATTTATTTTTTTAAGCATTCTGTTAAAGTAGAACACAAAACACAAAGCAGGAGACAAGTGAAACATTCCAATGCTTGCTAGTCATCATGTGAATTCAAGTTACTGTGTACTTTGCAGTAACATCTTAAGCGCTAAGAAAGGACTCTAAGAGAGAATGCTTACCTTTTAGCCTCTCCTAAGTGTAGTGTAACTTTTTTTTTTTTGATGATGTGAGAAGGGTGGGGGGGGGGAAGAGAAACAAAAAGGCTTAGCACTTGTAATGATCCAAGAGTGACCAAACAAGATGCATTCTCTTCTTTTTTATGCATGTCCTTAAACAGTATTTTTAGCACTTACTGTTAAATTACTACAAAGGTCAGAACAACATGAATACACTCTCTCTCCCCAATACCCCATCTATAATGGTAATAAATTTTTAAAAAAATAATAATAATGCTTTGTAGAAAAAATAAAGATCCGACTATGAACAGAACTGCACTCAATGCAATAAATACCTGTTCTATAAAATACTTTGCAGAAGTCAAAGTCCAGATTCATGAGATTTTAGTCTCTTCTAACAAAACTTATTCTTGTATTCATTTGAGTTGTAACATTTAAAAAACACCAGCAACCTCTTTCAGGGAAAAAAATACTTTCAGTATTACTTTAGTTAGCTGTCCAAAATAAGGATTACGTCTCAGAAAAGTCACTTCACATTAAAGCTCACTTCCCAAAGGGTAGGTCTATCATTCTGAATTTCAATTTATGTTTCACTATCAACCTAGTTACTCAGACCTGCATACTACACCAATACGATATTTGTACCAAGATACATATTTTTCACCTTGAAGAGCATCAGATTTAGTTACAGATTTCCTAGGAGGTAAAAGAATATCCAAGGTCTTCTAGGACTAAATATCTTTACTAGGAGCTATTTTATATAGCAAAACAGATACACAGACATACACACACGCACACCCCCCACCCCCAACACATCACAACACTTTCTCTTTAAGCCCCCAACACTGGGCTTCAGGAAAGTTAGTCTGGGATGTTCCTAAGGCCTTGACCTGTAAGAATATCGACTAAATGGGCATAAAGCCCAACACCCTAAAGGTAGCTCATCTCCGCTAAGATCAGTTACCTCTGTTTTATGGTGACTTTCAGAATTCAAGTACTCCTAATACTAGAAATACCTAAACGTAAGCCTAAGTTTCCTAAACTTGGGCCTCACATCGACAACATCCAGAAATTTCAGTGTCTGGTCCAATACTTTAGCTCTTTTAGTGTTTGTGTAAGGAGGAAATCTCAACGGAAAGGACAAAAAGCATTCACCTTGATTTTCATCCTCACTTCTTTTTCATAGTTACCTTAGGAGAGGGAAGAAGACTGCCAAAAAGTTTTATAGTGGGTATAACTACTTCAAGGACAGCACCAAATTGCCTCAACACTGCAGGGGAGGATTACGAACCCAACAGATCCACCTTCTATTTTAACTACTGCTTCCTGAAGAGTCTCTCCCAGCTGCTCTGATGAAGAGGCAGGGAGGTCTGTGGTCCTTTAGTCTCAGACTAAAACAAGGAAGCTTCTGAATCAGGGCCTGGAAGGAAACAGGCTCACTGCAATCAGAACAAGACTAAAAATATCAAGTACAGTCCTAATTTTTTTTTTTTTGTAACTTTTGCCTACCACTGTCTCATGGACAATAGCCTCACCACAGTAATTTGTACTTGAGAGGAGACAGAAGCTGAAATTTGCTGACAGCCAACACCAGCAGCGAGTTAAGTTTCCCCAGCTCCAGAGCAACAGAGAAATATACCTCTGAGAGGTGACAGAACTTAAGAACAATCAACTCTTAATCTGGGTCAGGCCTAGGCACATAATACAGGCTTTGACTAATTGACAGCAGGAGGAAGAAGGTAACCTGTATAGGAAATAACAACCTTCAAACATTAGATTTATATGAAAACATTTTCATGGAGAGGGATCTTAAGTAGAACTATAGAAGAGAGAGACCACTTAAAAATATCTATTAGACTGCAGTCCCACAAGAGAAGGGAGTAAGCATTTCACAGTGCAGTCATCTGTCACTAATGAAATCTTGACTCCTGATTACAGTATCAATAACCATTAGAATTTAAAAATGGGGAGGACATCCAGCTGCTTTGGAACATCTGAAACCTAGGGAAAAAAGCAGTATTAAACATTAGAAAGTACCTCTCTCCTGACAGCCTCCCTTCCTCCTCACCTTCTCCCAGCAACGGTATAAATGAAACATATCCAGCTTTACCCACTGGGGAAAAAAAATGCTTTCCCCCCCCCCCCCATTTTTGAAACAGAAATCTCACAATTTAAGTTGTATGAGTGCTCAATACTTAAGAAAATCAAGAGTGTAACAAACAGAATAAACCTTAGTATTCAAAGGCTAATCAGAAAGCCAGTTCTGTAGAAGGACCGGTTTTTGCTAAAAATACAAGACGAAATGAAGTCTACTACCTGCAGGTATACTTCTGTCAAAATTTAATGCCGCTGAACCACTGGAGCCATTTAACACGAGAGGACAGTTCTTCTAGGTCATGACAATGTTATAACATGCCTCATGTTAAAAACGTAATCAAAAAAGAAAAAATGTGTACACAGAGTGGGTACTGAGGAGACACTGAATCACTATCTGTAAATATTCCCAATGTGAACGTTAAACTCCCTCTCTCTGGTGTATCGAAATCCACAGTTTGTTTTCTTCAGCTTACTAATATTCTCACTACTAGAATGTCTTAGCCAGTATCTCTTAAAAGACATTATTCAGATTGCTTTTCTGGGCTGAAGGCAACCTAATCTAAAATTGCTCCATAGAGAAAGCTCCATAAGCTGGCCTTAGCAGGTAGATAACCCTGGAGAAGGAATACAGTCTCTTCCAATTATGCAAGCAAGGGAAGGTACAATCACTCCTGGCCAGGCAGTATGACTGCTGCTTCATCATTTAAAACAGTGTTGGCTCCTCATTTGAGCACATCCACCGGGAAAAAAAGGTTAATCTACAAGCCTACCAGAGGTGAAAGAATACCACTAAGCACACTGCACGCCGCCTGGTGAGGAGGCTCAGTGCAACTGTCATTCATTGTGGTCCATTTTCATAATGGATGGAACAGAAAACAGATCAAGAGAACAGGAAAGGGGACTGACATCCCTATCATCCAGTGCAACAGGTATACATATCCTTCCACACTTCCATCCCTTCGATTTCATATAAGGGAAAGAAAGGAACAAGGTGCAGAAAGGACAAAGAATTCTGACAACCCCTCACCATGCAGAGCAGACTGCAGAAGGAAGATGACCTGAACCAAATAAGTTATTATCTGATACTTCCCAAATGTGTTACTTAATAGAGCAATAACCTAGTTAAACTACATTACTGGTGCCTTGTCTTTCTGCAGTGTCTGGAAAAATGCAACAGTGGAAAAGAGATGCAGTAACTTCAGGAAATAAACCTGCCCTAGCCGTTTTCACCTAGCAATCAGATGCACCAAGAAACTTCTAGAATTTGGAATAGATCAGATCGCTCATATTTAAAGGACTTTCTTGTATTTTGATTTATAGGTGGCACATCATTCGTTTTGCTCAGCTCAGACTGGGGGGAGGGGGAACACTTTTCCCCTCTTTTCCAAACACAAGTGAGGAAAAAAAAAAGAAATACACTACCATGACCCCCAAGTAAAAAGTTTCCTCAGTCTTGGCACAAGCAAAATAGGCCTTGTACTTGCTTAAAAATATCACTGGAAAGCACCTAGAATAAAAAAATTCATGGGACCTTCCAAAAAATTGTTTGGGAAGATACACTGCATAACAACTAGCTAATGGGTTAATCTTCTCAAATTCCTCAAATAATCAAATAAACAGTGCCAGAAAGCCTAACAATCCTCTCCCGTCTTATGCAACAGGCTTATTCAGCTGTTTGTTTATTAAACAATGTAAGGATTGCAGGCATTTCCATCACAGGATCCAGTCCACGCTTCACTAACTTTGATAGAGCTGGATAAAGTCCATGCTAAATATCCAGCGTAAATTCAGTCCTATGAACAGATGTCCACACATAGCCAGCTCTAATATTTAAACAGACACTTTACTATTATTATTTTGATAGTGCATTACATATCCTTATGTATGTTTCCAGCCCAACAGTTCCTCACTGCTGAGGTCGTCAAGACACAGAAGCATTAGCTACAGAATATAGAGACCAGGTCATTCAATTCCCATGGGCTGATGAGATTGGGCTCCTCACCACCACCACTGGAGCAGGTGGCAGAGGTGGCAGCAGCAAGAACAGGAAGGAGAGGAGAAAGCAAGGAAAGAGAAATGAGGTGATAGTGGGAGTAGTAAGACCCACACACAAGAGCTGGAAATTCAGCCATAACCTACCACTTTAGCCAGGAGATCCTGCTTCTGAGTCTTCCACTGGCATGCAACTTTCCTGCTGCATAAAACTGTAGTGGCTCCACTTGGAAGACTCTTCAGTCTAGCCTCATGGGGTCTATCACCTCCTTTGCCTCCTTTGGATTGAGATTCCTGTCTCCAGGTAGTTATTAGCGGTTATAGCCATTACCGGGTTTTAAAACTTGTACATTTGTGCTTCTTCAACGAGAATTACAGCTTTGAGATAATCCCCTGGAGACATTCATTTTTCTTCTTCAGATCATTCCTTAAAACTATTTTTACTGCTAAGCCTACACAAAGTGTGTATGTATGTATGCAAATTTTTATAATAGTTTGGCAGTGCACCCAATATGGACATGTTACAATACTGTTTCCTAGTACTCCTTTGCCCATTTTGTGGTTTGGGGTTTTTCTGGTTTGTCTTTGACTGCAAGTTCTCTGCAGAAGGGTTCATCTTTTATGGTAGGTATTGTGGAAACCTAAAACAATTGATTTTGATTCATATTTAAGACTCTGAGGTAATATTATAATAAAAATTAATTAGAAAGGGATGCAGTTATGGCTATGGATTGATTCTGTGGTCATTGTTTCACGAAGCAGGACCCTAAGAATAACAACTGTAAATAATACCTTTTATTTTAGAGTTATCCTGCTTACTCCAATTTATTATTGTTCTTGTTACAGTGCTCAATGTCCTTGGGATAAAAACCATCAGTCCACCTTTGTCTTTGGTTTAAAGATATTAAACTAATCCTTGGAAAAGCAAATAGAATTAGTCCTTTCCTGAGACCTTCTTTACAACCAGACAATTTAGTCTTAAGAAGAACTTCCTCTTCATTGTTCATGAATGCTTTGATTATACCAAGGGGAAAAGGCATTTCACATTTGCAATAGTAAAAAGGTCCTGAGCATCAGGTCTGACAAAGAAAGTAACCTGAATCCATTACATTCTTTTCTCAGGCTAAGGTGAAAGGAGAGGAGAAGTTACTAAGAGCATGAAACTTTTTACAACAGTGCATATACCCTTTGTTATCAAAGCCCAAAAAATCCTACATGCCCCAAAGTCTTCAAAAACATGCAGGGAAGCCATTAGTTTAAAATAAAAGGAAGATGGGCTCACAGACCTCAGAACAATCAGCAGCACAAGCATTCACACATGCCAGCTCTAAACTATGTGCAGGACAGAACTAAACATTACAGACGCAAAACAGCTTCTTTACAACTTTTGTTCTGCCGGTACTACCTTTCATGCAGGTCTATGTATTTAGCGCTTGGATGAAAGGCAGTGGCTATGTTTTCCCCAAGAACTAGTTGCTTCTCTGTCTTTATGCACCTGTATGGGAAGGGAGGAGTACAGTAACTTTGTCAGAGACATAAGAGGAAACAAACATCATCAAATAAAGGCCTTATCGCATTTACCTGACAACGGGATCACTAATTCAGTGCCTATGAAAAAAGACTATTATCCAAATTCATAGCGGTCTCATGAAGTTAACTCATACAGCAAGGCAGTAGTCTCATCATGAACAAAGCAATGCTTCATATTCCAATAGTTTGAGCAAAAACGTTATTTGGTACGAGGCAAAAATCATGATTTTCCAGCTATTTAAACATAAAGCACTGCTGCAAGCTAATTAATGCTGTACCAGACTATCCAAGCTCTATTAAATTTGTACAGTAAAGAGTAGAAAGGGCTTATGTAAAAACCATCACTATCAAATTGAACTGTACATGGGACAAGTGGGTATGTTCATTGGAGGGATAAGGAAAAAAGTCTCCCAGAAATAAAAGAAGCCCCAAAGCCCTCGTTTTAAAATTAAGCTTATGCCTTGGTGCTGACATTCATTTTGACTGACTGATTTATAATCGCAATATTATTCTATAGGAGGCCAAAATAAGCCAGGCTTATCAGGTAACAGAATTTATTTCATCCTCTGCACTCAGGTTTTGGGGGGAGGGGGGGGGGGGGGGTTGATTTTTTTTTTTTTTTCTCCTCTCCAACAGCTGGCTTTGGCTGGCAGCAAAAGATTGTGCAAATCAACATTAATATCAACGATACATGCTTCTTGGTGAGCACACCAATCAAATAAGCACAATTATTTAAACAGCTAATGAGAAGAAAATACACAAACATTGCATTTAAACACATGTTCATTAATATTGGTCAATCCTCACAGAAATTGATTTTCTCCACCAATTAAATACTGCCCTGAAAAAACACAGTTCTAAGACGGCCCTGGAATTCAACACATTGATATTAAGATCAGTTTCCTTTGTTTCACTAAAATTATGTTCCTAACCCTGAAAACCCTTACTTACACGGACAATCCCACCATTCCAATTTTCTCTTTGGGCATCTTCACGTTGTTCTCCATTCTGCTTATTAATGCAAGGAGGATCATCAAGAACACTCTTTTCAAAACTTCTCAAAAAGCTCTCCTCTACTATGATACCTACACGAAATAACTGAATGGTGGCTGAACATCTGCTATGCCAAGATCAGCTTCTCTTTCAGGAACCTTATGCAGTATTAACTTCTTCTCTCCCCAACTTAGCCTCTCTGATACTGAAAATTCTTCCACCTAGTGCTAAAAATGAAAATCATGAAGAAATTACAATCTCTGTTACCAATCTAAATGGGCTCTCCCATGGCCATAGCCACAGAAAGATGACATTATCAGATTACTCACATAAGGGTTAACAGGCACATGCGCTAGTTCACTGGGTTGCCCGTGGCACATTGGGGTCAGGGGTAAGAGTGGAGAGACACCAAAAACAAAGTTGTTCAGGCTTTGCTTTCTTTGTACAGAGCCTTTAAACGTCTCAGAAAAAAAAAAAAAAAAAACAAATTCAGTTACAGCCACGTACTAGTTAATGGTTTCTGGCCTTGCAAGTTGTGATGTTTTATAAAACAAGATATGTTGCCTACAGGTAGAAAGTGAAGCCAACTGCAAGCCAGGAGTCCTTTATGCTGGAGTAACTGATAATGCTTTATGCTGCAGGTACAGGAGCCTTATTTAAGAGTAATGTAAGGATGTTACTGAACTAGGGAAGAAGAAAAGAAAAACACTATAGGACAGAAAAAGTTTGAATCTGTTCAAACCATCTACCCCAGCAGAGCCAAAGATACAACACTACTCTTTAACAGGTTGCCTACATTTATTCCACTGCATGAGTGGAGAGTACTATACTTAGGGCATAACTAATTGTAGGGAAGAGTTTGAGCTCTCGGCTCAAACAGGCTTTTTAAAGGGGAAAAAAAAAAAATCCATCAGAACTGACTTTCACATAGAGGTGATGATATCTGCTGAAGAGACTTTTTAAAATGGGCACCGTGGACCTTGTTAAGTATAACTGACTAAACCCTCACTGGCATTTTAAACATACAGATGAGGTCTTCAAGATCTAGGACTCTCACCACCAGGTTAACAGAAAGGGAAAGGTCAGACACATTCAACACCAGAGAAGTAAGGCAAGGCAAGAGTATTTCATGTCACAAATTAAGAAATTATTTTCTCTATCAATAATAATAACAATACCATTACTCATTTGTGGAAGACTTAGAGAAATTTAACAAACACTGATTCAAATACAACTTTACACCTCCAAGTCTTGTTGCTAACCTTCTACTAGCTGGTCCAAGGAGGAAATCTTCTTGGAGCCATCAATAGTGTAGATTGTTCTCACTCCCTGGGGCAGATTCACATTGTCAGACAGAGTTCGGGTCAGATCAGCCAGCAGAGCCTCAAAGGATCTAAACCGGTCAGGGGAGATGGCATATACAATTCCTTTGAAATACCGGTCTCCATTACGATAGAAACGAACTTTCTTAGCTTTTTTCTCAGAACTGAGGGTCTGTAGAGTACGGGTTCGGTAAAAGCTGCAGTGGGCACTGTGGGTGGGGCTAGGCAAACCATTTACCCGGGACCCTCTGCCATACCGCTGCGCTTTATCACGCTCATCAAAATGCTCCAGCTCCATATCTCTCCCAAAGGACATCTTGAGGTTCAATCTAAGGGATACACAAAAGAAGAGAAAAAGCTTAAGAATTTACATATTTCAAGACTGCTCATTTTGAGACTTCATGTTATATACAGGGCACACACAAAAGACTTCTTTCCAAGTTCAGAAAAAAGCTTGAACAAAGATATACTACGTTCACATGTTCATTTTATAGCTCTCTAATCATGCTGTAAAACCTAGTTTATAAGAAGGTAGGATTTAACACGCCACAGAGATACCACTCATGAAACCAATTTCTTAGCAATATGCAAACGTAAAAAAAACTATTCATTCAAATTCAATAAGATCTGAAACTTAGGTGGCAAAGCTGAACTACCGGGGGAAAAAAAAAAAAGCAAACAAGTCAGCTTTCTGCTTTTTCTCATCTTACATTCAGGTGATATCTGAATGCTATTGGAAGTCATATAACCAGTTTGCATTCTAAACTGTTTGCTCCTACTGTGATCTCAGAAGTCACAACCTCAGAGGACAATATTTGCTGCCAACCGGTAAGCAATTAAGAACTTTTGGAAGAAAAATGTTGCAGGTTAGCGAGGAGAATTGGGACTGTCGCTACCAGTAAGCTGACTTAGTGGGTCAATTCCACT